ATTTATCACAGTACAAACTGCCACTGTTCTCTGTTACAGTCATTCTCCGGCTGCAAGTACACTGCTAACGTACATGTAGCTACATGCTAACATTAAGGACACATATCATCTTTTGGCTGCTAATATTGTAAATTTCTCCTTGACTTCAGATTATATTCGTGTTGAAACATGCCCAGATGTATTTAGGAGCTTCTACTGGTGATTTATTACAGTAAAAAGTGCCAATGTTCTCCGTTACAGTCAAGAAGACCCATGAACACTGACCAATCAGAGCCGAATAGATTTAAACAGACAGCCACTAAAATGGAGTGTTTCAGACAAAGAGTGAATACAGGTGCTCCAGCAAGACATTGTGAGGAAATAAAGTGTTTTTGACTGTTAAAGCATGTAGGCCTGAACATGTTTAGGTAGAAAGAAGTCTTCTATACAACCATAAACCTGAGAATGAGTAAAATAGGTCCTCTTTAATCAATGTGTGTGATAATAACTTTGCTACATTTTTAATAAAAACGCATAAAACAACATCATAAAGCCCACAGCCAGTGTTTTCTACAGAAGAAACATTGAAATATAAGCCTGCACAGCCAGATCTGAGACTACTTTCAATGAGTCTGGCTAGCGGCAGATGCTAATGCTATCCCAGGCCCCTGGGAAAGCTGCTCAGCCTTGCAAATAATTTTCAAAAATCCTCTCTGGCCCAAAAGCACTTTCCCCATAGAAAACTGTCCGTAAAAACTGTCCGTAAAACTGTCAACAGGACACCACGAACTGCAACAAGGTCAACTATGAATCTTTCTGTTCTAATTTTTTTTTGAGCCAGGATGGATTTATATACGTAAAACTTCTCTCAAGCTGATAAATGCAAACTCCTTACCCATATAACACATCTAATTTAGCTATGAATAGATTTCTCCTCCAAGATTGAAACATCTTTCCTAAAATGTCCTTTGCAGAAAGAAAACCTCTTAATTTGATAGGACTGACAAGGATTCATTACATAACTTGGCAATTTCAAACAGTCTGGTTCAATACCTTCTGTTTGCTCAGACTAGCAACGGCTCATATCACACAACAGCCCTTGTGCTCAGGCAAAGGTCAGACCAACAATAACCGGCCAGCAGCAGGCGAACCAGATGCTTATGAGTAGGAATACAGGGAGGCCAGGCTTGGCGGTGTATGGCCTTTCTGGGTTTGACAAACAGCTCTGGTGACCTTTTTGGCGAGTTCAGTTCAGAATTGCTCGGCAATTGACTTTACTGAGGTCCAGCAGTCACGTTAATGTGAGTGTCCAGGTGACAGGTCCAGGCCGTAATAATTGCATGCAATGAAAAATGTTGCTTTATTAGCGTCTCCAGCAGCTAATTGTGGTGCCAGAATGTGTTCCATTATCTATCAGATCCGGCTCGTGCATGCTTGTGTAATGAAGATGACTGTATGGGAAGAGACTGTGATGGCAGTACGGGAGGGGACACTTATAATGAAACAGCCACTTATAATATAACAGCTGAAATGACCTGGGTGATTAGTTTCTACCACATATTAGCAATCAAAGCTTGTGTATGTAAATGAAGTGTGTAGCTGCAACATTTTCAATCTTAATTTCACATGTTAATTTGGGAAAAGGCAATGTTTACTCACCTTTTATTTATATATTAAAAATCCCTGTAAATACTTATTTATTTCTTAAATTATTGGTGGTTCTCGACAAACACAAAACTGACATCACTGCCACAACTGTCTGTGTTGATTTTGCCGTACATGCCATTACAGGCTTGCATTTCAAATTAAAACTGGTTGCTGATGGGGACCCAGCTCCATATAAAGTGGTTGATGACTGTCCATTAACTGTGTTTCCCGGGAGTGGAGGAAAATAATCAGTTTATTCCCACCAGCAACAGGTATATAAGTGGGCACAACATGACTACATAATAAGAAGAGCTCCAACAATTTTTAATGAATTAAAGCAGCAACATTTGGAGCGTTTGCTACCTGCATGAATCGTAATGTAGATGTAGGGCTGCAACTAACAGGTGTTTTAATTGTCAATTAACCCTTTTTTTTGCAATCAATAGATGAACTGTTTAGTCAATCAAACATTGGGAAAAAGTGAAAAAAGCTCATTCAGATTTCCCAGAGCCCAAGTTGACAAAAGCTACTGGAAAAGCAGGAACATGTCAGTGAAAAACACCATGGTTCCATGGCTCAAATGCAATGGGAAAAGCAACGATGTTTCAGTATAAGCTGCTGGCCAATTAGGCAGGTTGAATCTGTGTTGGAGGTGGTGAAATCACTCTAATTGGTAGCTAAGCATAGTGAAGAAGACAAACGGAAGTGAGGAAAGTAAACAAATGGCTAAAGTCAAGAGAGTGTGAGATCAGAACAAACTTGTTACAATAGGTAAGATTATGTTTTTAGCCATTAAGCTCATTATCAGAAACCGTTTGTAACTGTTTAAGTTAATACTTGCTTGCACACAGTAAATATTCTGTGATGTTTCAACATTGGATTGTGTTGTTAATGTGCTAATTGGCTAACTAGCGTCACAAATCCATCCTGTCAGTGTTCCTGTTTTCCTTTTCCAATGATGAATACAGACTATCACTGCCAGCTGGTGTGGAGAGTTATTTCCTCTCACACAGGCACAGAACAAACGTGCTAGCTGGCCATTGGCTGTAGTCTTTGGGGTGTGTTAAAGTGCAACTTTTTGGCTGAGACACATGCAACGTGAGGCAACACAACAGTCAGCCTTCATCACCACTAGTTCTTTCATGTTGGTTTGGTGCATCTGGGCCCTTACTCCCAAGTTTGACCCACAGGCTTTGTCATAAATTAATCCCCTTCGAACCCAAACCAAGATAACACTGATGATAATATCAAGGTAACTCTTTATCGGACTTTAAAAGCTTTAACAGTTTTGATTAAAACTCAGTGATCTTGGTAAGCTTTATTCAGATGTTTTATGTGCAAATTCAAAATGCGGCTAACAAACAAGTGGATGGAAAGTGCAAGACGATATGTTCACATTTCTGTATTCCAGTTTTGGAAAATTGATATAATCAGAACCATCTGTCTAATTACACATTGTATCTAATTTCAAGAGAAAAAGTGGCAGCAGTCTGCTATCATTAACTGAACCCTCTCTCTACCAGGAGTCACGCTTGTTTTTGTAAAATTCCCTGTAATTGCTCTCATTGACAGCACAGAGAAAATATGGTAGGAGAATTACAGTACATGATATAAACAACTAGCCTTTGCTTAAGAGCTATTTTAGTGAAAGGAAAAGCTACTATAAGTTTGCACAAAGGGTATCTGAAGATATTAGGGCTCAGTTTGGACCCTTTGTGCCTCATCATCCGGGGAGAAGAGCATTTTCCATTGAGTTGTGAGTCACCCAAGCTTTATAACCCATCACAGGGAACACGATGCTTTAATTTAGTTTTGTCAAAGCCTTTAGTTGTCGTTTCATTGCACCCGAGTTGAGTGTTTTCATATCAGCGCTTCCTGTCAGTCACCTTAAATCAAAGCAAAACTTTACTGTCACTCCCAAGCTTTTTCTTCCAGCCAAAATAAAACTCATTCACACGGCGTCCACCACAGATTGAAAAATAATTATGGCAAAAGCAAATGAGATACAGAAGTATTCCAGGTATTTCCGTTTAAATCATTATCTCCCAGCCTGTTACCCAGCAGCAGTAATGCCCTCACACCTTCTCTCCGGGTGGAAAATTAAGACACATTCATCATCTGCACAATCCTGGTGCCAGATAAATAAATATATACTAATTAAACTCTGGTTGATTTATACACCACACAACAAGAATCATAATTACAGCCATTTATCACAAGAAGAAATTGAAATGCTACTAAAAGGGTGCTGGAGGCAAATCTTGATTCAAACATCAATGATAAAGGGTCTTTAGTTTGTAGAAGGAGTAAACACAGAGTTTTACACTGTGGTCAGGGGTGTTTGCCGAAGAATTAAGCCTCCTCTCCTATCTCTCCTATCCCAGTGTTTGACCGAGGAGAGAAAATGGTCTGCAATTCCTCCACGTATCACTGAGGAGAGCGCTCACTATACTCTCAAATGAAGAGTGCCATCAACGTGGCGCTGGGCCGGGAAAGCTAGTTTTAACAGCCTCTTCCACCGAGGATGTGACTCATGAGTAACAGCAGCCACTATAAATAATTTGGGGTACATTGAATTTGGATCAAAAGGCGCGTTGCATGTAAAAGCATGCAGAGAGAGGAGCAGGCACAGAGAGGAGCAGGGGATGATTCAAGAGGGGAGAAAGCGGAGAGTGAGGAATATTCATGTGGAGGAAGGAAGGAAGGGAATGTGCAAAGGTATGTTTCCAGGGGAGGAAGCAGGGATGGGGCCCAATCAGATAAATGTAACTCTGACATCAGCGTCTGATGAAGGCGACCCCATTGACACCAAAAGTCTCCCGCGTGCTTCGAGACTTATCTTTGCTTCCTTTTGGGCGGTGATATCCGCTTCTTTTTCATCGCTCGGAGTTATCACTAAATGGCACCCAAGTAAACCTGATAATAATCCTAATGATGGTAATAATAAAGACAGCAAGTTGTCTAATAGCCAGTGGCATGCAGCCAGAGCAAGCAGAGGGTCGTGCTGTGTAATTAGAAGCTGTGAGTAATTGCAAATATCAGGCCTGAGGCAGGGAGAGGCAGAGAGGAGGGAAGCAAAACCACTGCATGTGGTGAGGAATGGTAGGCTTTAAGACCTGAGACCACTTAGGATGACCTCTGAACTCTGTGATGGGGGGCAAGTGCAGGGAGATGTTAAGGCAGGGATCAGTAAAGTGTCATATTAGCATCAGTGCTGCAAGTTGGGTGGGATATAAGAGCAACTTTATCTGTACTTGATTTCACAAACAAATGTAATCTGTTGGGTTAAAATGATGGGAACAGTGCTCAGAGACACACATCTGGCTTAGTGACAGACACAAGGGGACACAGAGCATGTTGGACACATGTCTTACCAAGCCCCACTCCGACGATGAGCCTCCCTGCCAGGAGGACCTCCTTGCCAGGGGCGGTGCTCAGCACGATCCCCCCGACGGTGAAGAAGAAGCTGGCCAGCAGTATGCACACTCTGCGCCCGAAGAGCCCGTTGAGGAAGCCGCCCAGCAGGGCAGACAGGGCGGCCGCGGCCACAGTACTTGATATGAGCACCTCCTGCCACAGTGCGCTCAGGTCCAGCTCCCTCTTGAGCAGGAGCATGGCCCCGGAGATCACCCCGGTGTCGTAGCCGAACAGGAAGCCCCCCAGGGCGGAGAACGCCGCCAGGACGTAGACGAAGCCGGGCGTGACATCCTGCTGGAACTGCTTGCGGGCAGCGCGCTCCAGGTCCCCGGTGGAAGGGGTGGAAGAGGGGGGTGCAGCTGCTGGCGCACCGGCGGTGGAGGTGGCGGCGGAGGCGCCCTGGCTGCTGATGCTGGCGCTGGACGGAGCCTTGATAAGACTCCGCTCTCCTCCGTCGCTCACTTTCTTCCACCGCTCGCCCATGAGGTTGCTCATACTACGGAGATTGTAGTCATGGTCGACCTGCTTTCGCGACATATGGGAAATACAACACAGGACAGGGCTGCTTAGTTGTATTGGATGCCTCAGGAAAAAGAAAACAAAAACACACTTAACTAATTTACCCACCCCACCCCCACACAGGTTGGAGTTAAACTGCCGCGTTGGTTATCCACAACCACTCCCAAATATAACGCTGGCTTGCTGAGTAAAGTTGCGCTCCAGCCTTGTGTGTTTCAGTGTATCACATCCCTGTGGTGCTGATGGGAGAGTTGGAGAGGAGTGGGGAGGAAAGGTAAGATGGGAGGAGTGTAGTGGAGCAGCTCGTCACTGCGAGCGTCGGCATGACGCAAAGAAATATTGTTTGGGAAGCATGATGCTGGAGTGGATCATTTATGGAGAGGACAGTTCAATTAAATCATGGAAATCATCTATTTAAATTAGAAAGCAATACAATACACACATAAAAACCACAACTGAAATAGACAGTCTGCTGCTCACTGTCAGGTGAGGCTTTAAGAAACCCAAAATTTCCTTGTGCACAAGCAAAAGTACAAACAAAACCTCATGTAAAACATAAAGAACGGCATCCTTATAGATGCATAACATATAATCTACACCAGTAATTAATTACAGCAAGTTAATATAAATATTCTTAATAATGACACACATGTCAAACAGGCTTTATATCACTATGTTTCACCTGTTACTGAACAACAGGCTGCCTCAGGCAAAATATGAAACGGCTGCCCCCTGCAGGACTGACTGCTGTACTACAGGTACATGTTTCTGCAAGTTGATTTACTCAATACACAGTCAGGGGACACCACACACACACTGACAGCCCCAATGGAGGTCTACAATTCTTGGGCAAAAGCATCTCTGTGCAGATGACTGAATTTTCTTAACATAAAATTTGATGATCTCAAAATAACTAAACAGACTTTTTGGCTTGGGCAGTCCTGCAGCCACGTTTGTCATCAGACATAAGACATTTAGGTCATGATCACTGAAGGTCCAGTGTGAAAGATTGAGGGGGTTTTAGTGGCATCTAGTGGTGATGATAGCAGATTGCAGCCAGCTGAAACTTCTCCCAGTGAGGATTTTTTCAGTGTTAATTGTTCAGGAGGTTTTTAGTGGGAGCCTATTATCTGCAGAGGTCTCCTCCCCTCCAACAGGGTAAAAACACTCAATTAATGAAGCAATTTCATGTAAAAAAAAAAAAAATCAGTGTTTCTCTTGCCCTGTTCAGTACATCGCTGTTGGCCCACTTGCCCAGTACCTGCAAATGTGTGCTCACCTTATTTCAGATCCAGACATTCAGAAGTTTTTTCACAGTGAGCCAAATTATCTGCAGAGGTCTACTCAGAACCCAGGGATTTAAACAGGTAAAAACACTGAATAAAGCAGTTTCACTTTAAAAAAAAAACTAGTGTTTTTTCCAGTGCTCTTGTCACAGAATGGCTGCTTACCATGGTGGCCAACACAAAAATGAAAATGGCTCAAAGTAGACCCAGTGTGTGGTTTGTCCAATCTGGGCTACTTGGCGAAGTACATGACTGTGCAACATGGCAATCTCCGTAGACGACGATCTGATCTCTAAATAGATATAAACAGCTCATTCTAAGGTAACGAAAACACAATGATTCTTATTTTCAGGTGATTATACACAAAAGAAAACATATTATATTATATTCCATTTCTGCTAACATATCTCACTAATCCTACACGCTGAACCTTTAATCAGCAGACTAATCAGTTAATTATTTGGCCTATAAAATGTAAGAAAAAAAGCCCATCACAAAGTCCAAACCCACTAGCTTTTTTTTCTGCTGACTGATTGATTGATTAATTTATTAATCATTTCTGCTCCAGATGACACTGCCAAAAAATAAATGGTTGACTAATAACAGCTGAGACAATAATCTTGAATTAGAAACTTCTCACTTTTACTAAACCAGCATTACTGAAGAAAGCTACACCCACAACACCATGTGTGAGGAAATTAGAACAGACACTAACAAATATATCTATTATTATATCTGCTAGTTTTTTATCATTAATTAATTAGTTTTTTGGTCTATAAAATGTCAGAAATAAAATTAAAAATTTCCCAAAAACCAACACTAGTGTCTTCAGATTTCTTGTTTGTCAAATACATTCACTTCACTGTCACAAATGACAAAGGAAAGCGGCAAAACCTCACAACTAAGAAGTTGGATCAATGCAAAGATTGTCATTTCAGTTTGATGAATGTCTAAAATGATCATTTAAGAAAAGAAAAGGAAAAGAAAAAAATAAAATAAAATGATCATTTATCAAATTATCTGCCCTCATCTAAACCCAATGCCTAACTCTTCTTCTGAAGCTAAAGACTGGATGAAATGCCTCCATGAAAACCCTCTTCCCTCATTTTCAGAGCTCCCTCCTTCACACACTCAACCATCATCATTGCCCACCTTCTCCATTATTGATCAATCTTAAAACAGAGGAAAAGTAATCTGAGTGAACATGCTGCATGGCTGCAGCCTGGAGAAATGACATGGTTGTAAATGCATTTATGTGTGGAGGGGGATCAATATGCGGACAGTGGTGTCACACAAAATGATGAATGAGTACAGCCTGATAATGGCTCATGATTGAGCCCATTAGAGAAGGAGAGCAATAATGGGACAAGTTTCCTGTACACACAGTGGCATACATGGTTTCATGGTGGAAAGCTATAATGTCTCTCCTCGGGAAATTAACCTCATGATTCCAGCTGAGTAGTGGGGCCTAAGGGTGGTGATGTGCGTCACTCATTCATCTATGGCTTGACAGCTAATGGCCACATTGGATCACAGCTGAAATAATGCCGACACCTTGATCTTTCCACTAGCACCAACATTTCCACATACACACACAAAGACTTAATACTGAAAATGCATGCTCAAGTTCCAATAAAATTTACTCAACACATTCATGTGCCTCTGAGAATGAAGTTTTCCTAATTCAGGATAGGGGAAAGTACACACAGGTGCTGCTCTCCTTTGACCTCATACACCTGGCCATGAAGCATCACAAGAGGGCTCTATCTGATAATATAAAATGCGAGAACACGTAAGGTCACATCTGCCTCCTGTTTCAAATTGAAAACTGGCCTTGTTTCTATCTGCTCCTGTAGCCACCGAGGACATTGGTCTGTTCAAAACACTACTGTTCAATTAAATTCAGTACATGCATTGTGTCAAAAGCAGTTATGGTCAGGTTGGTTTTCACCTGTGCTATGTCCTCTGCAGTGTTGTTGCACTCCCAACAGAAATGTATTGAGCATGTCATATTAAAGGGAGGACACAGCAAGGAAGGCACCCAAATTCGTGTTTGTCGTCCGAATAGTACTGACCGATCACGTTTGAGTTGCAGGTAAATAGTCCATGTGGAGAGCAAGAAAAGTGGAATACAGTGGCTGAACTACAGTCTCGGAAGCCATCGGCTATCGTCTGACAATGATTTAGCTTTTTATTAGCTTTCTTAAAAGTAATTTGCCGATACCTGTTTGTAGAGATTAGCCGAAATGAATGCACAGTCTCGGCCTGGATATTTGCTTGGTACACCGGAACCCCTGGAATATTGGCCTTCGCCCGCAGATCCTTATCGTGATCAGAACAATATCTGATGGGTTCCAAGATTTATTTCTCCTAAATCTCTCTTACTGTGTCTTGTGGACTGTCCTGTCAAATGGCTATGAACAAAACTGTAAACCATCTCTGTAAGGCATGACAAACACTTACAAAATAAAACAATATGCCATTTCAGAAGGCACGTGGTGTAGATCTGATCATCACAAGTCAAAGAAAGTCTTAAAGCATTAACGGTCTCAAGCGTGACTGGGCGCAACATGTTTAAACGGAAAATGGAAATGCCTATTGGTGCAGTGTTGGCCAAAAAAATCCCCAGTGGAGCAGCCATATAACTTATACCTCATGTTGATGTTCTGCAACACATGGACTTGTGATTTTGTTTTTGATGTGTTACCAAAAAGAAGTTGGGCAATATTTTAGATTTAGAGAGCTCACGAAGCTTAGTTTGCTGGATGTTCTTGTCTGCGTGTATGTAAATGTGCATACCATTTTGAAACACTGATCATAAAAAAGAATTACCAGATTGATGGTACAAATGACTAATTCTACGAATGACTAATTTATTTATCTGGACTGTGTACTGCTTGCTCTCAGATATTGTTTACAAAGGTTTGTCGCCAGAAAGAAAGATATACCTAAAAAATTCATTAGCAGAGATGACAAAGCCTGATGGGTTGTCAGATTGCCAAGCTGAGAACTGAGTCATCTCTTCCTTTATCCAAGTCTACATAATCAGGCTTAACCTTTCAAATCAGACAAAACACAGCCATGAACATCCGTAGCACTGCAAACACACCAAACTGAGTCTATCAGACTATAGTAGAAGTACAACATTACAGAAAGTACAGGCTTAAGAGAACCCAATCCTCTGTCTTTGTGTAAACCAGCCTCAAAAAGAAGAAACTGGGTGAGAAACTATGTGCAAGGACCGGTCTGCAACCTGTGGAGAGGATAATGTCGTAATAACAGCTCCGATTGAGGTAACACAGCAGTATCTCGCTTTCAGACCTACTGTGCCAAGTAAGCTGGGTATTGACTGTTAAAAACCTACAGACCTTTTTTCACAGTGGGCATTTTGCCATATAATAATATCACACTGTAGCAGGAACAGCACAGGTGTAATTGAAAACATTAATAACAATGACCTTACACTTGGGTGAGAAAATTCCAGCTTGTATTGTGCATACTGGCTCACTGGGGTATTTAAAGGACCAGAGCCCTAATTAATGTTATTAGTTACCTGTGCTTTTTCCTGATGATATGGCTACAAGTCAGAATATCTGCTGTGAAAAATATATGCTGGTACTATCGATGTTAAAGCTCCACCACTCAGTATCAACAACCTTTATACTGTACTCTGTACTCTACAGAGCTTTTTTGCCCCTTATAGTTCATTGTTTTACTTTTATACTACAGTTTGGTAACCTCTGCTTATATCAACTGTTTCCAGCAGAAGCGAGCTGCTGTTTCCAGCAGAAACCTCTGATATAAACCCTATGTACACTACCTGTCCACCATTAAACCAGGCCACCAGGAAGTATGCTGAGCTTTGAAGCCAATTTTCATAGTGGCCAAACAAATCCTGAGTCCGTCACATGATGCCATTGGGCCCAAAAAGACTTTTCCCATAGACTTTAATGGGAAAGAGATGTCTTTCAATGATGTATTTTATGTCATAGAACAGAACATAAAAGCCTCTTAAGCTTGTGTGAACCACAGACCTTATTTCAGGCTTCTAACCAAAAGACCATTCAAAATACTCATTGATTTCTAGACAAGGGAACAGGAAGTAATAAAATGCTAACTCATTTCCAAGTTTTAGAGCTCATGCCTGGGGCACTCTATTTAGTTGGGAGTCAGTTAAAACCAGAGATGTATAAAGAGAACTGGATACAGCATTCGAGGCGGGGCCTCTGCTCATTCCCTTGAAAGTTGCTCAGTGGCACATGAAGAAATGTTCGACTTCTTGGGTATAAAATTACCTGGATCATCCACATCATAGGGCCCATGGAGCAAGTGCACTCCAGACTTTTGCAAGCCAAGCAGCTTAGGCTACTTCTGGTGTGCCCAAATGGGGCATATGAGTCTTCTAAACTTTTGAAATGTTATCAGATCAAATGCATGAAATTCTATTTCCACAGTATGAAATTAGCCAGATCTTCTGCGTTACAGGGCCCACAGAGCAAGCGCACTAAGACTAATGACAGCCAAGCGTGGCCAAGTGTGGCCGACTGGCAGACTTCCGTCGGCCAAATGGCTAACTTAAGGTTTAGCGCTCCACTAACTTGAATGGGGATAAAATAATTAATCGTGTAGCTCTTGTAGACTTTTGAAATGTCAAATTGATCAAATCCTGAAAGTTAAACATCAGTTTTTGGGGGTTGTGATGCTCAAAAAATGTATCCCCTGATTAAAACATGTCTCTTTCCCACTGTAAGTCTATGGGCAAAACTTTTTTTATATATCACTTCATGGACCCAGACAGTGTAGTTCCACTTTCGACCACTATGTAAAATTGGCCTTGAAGCCCAGCGCGCTTTCTGGGGCATGGTTAAACTGATTTTATTATTATTTTTAAATATTTTTATTGTTGGCAAAATGTCACTCTCCACCTTACAATCAAAGCATTGTATGAACTAACACAATAAGAATAACCAGCCAACTGTACAGTTTTACAGAGCATTTAATCTTCTTTTAGTTCAATTTTGGTTTTAGAAAACTTTAACTGTACATTCAGTCTCAGAGCTTTCATGTTTCCAGCAGCAGCAGGCAGCTCTTAGCAACAAAGCTTACCAACTAGCTAGCTGGAGAAAAGCTGAAGAACTACCAGCTTAAAGACCCAGCTATCTTTCCCAGGAGTTTGGGAGGACCAAACCAGTGCGTATATTGTACTTGGTTTTGCTGGTGGCCAAAAAACCCTGACTCCAGATAATATTGCTCCGTGTCCACTGAATGTAAGTAGGCAACCATTACCATCCACATTAACGTTAGCCATAGCCTTTTAAAGTTTAAAGTATCTGCAGTATGTTTATTGTGGAGCTCTTCTGCCTCCAAGAGGACAAAAAATATGAATACATCTGTAAGACATCCAATACATTTTGCAATGTTCAAAACAAGTTTTTTATTGTTGGGAAAATTACACTTTACCTTAAAATCATAGCAAAGCATGCTAAAAATGAATGGGATTACTAGCACATACCCAAATCACAGTCCTTTGCAGTTCTATATAACTTTATAGCCACTTTTAGTTTGCTGTTTTTGTTTTATGGTACATTTAATGTACAGCTTAGTCTCACTGTTTTCATTGACCATGTTTCCATTAGGGACAGGCAACAAGCTCAGACAAACCCAGTATAACTATCCAGCACAAACCAGCAGCATAACAAAGTTAGCAGCTAGCTAACGTTAGCTAAAGCGGCTAGCCGTTAGAAGGTAAAAGCTAAAAGCTATTTTTCTCAGGATTTTTTGGAGACCAAACCAGCGTGAGCCAGTATTGGACTTATATTTGCTAGTGGCCAGAAACTTGCCTCCAAAGATATGTTGGTGTTTCTCTTTATCTGCCGAAGTAGGTAGGTTGCTAACACATTAGCTTAGCCTTTTGAGGTGACGACGTATCAGGTGTGTGTGTGTGTGTGTGTGTGTGTGTGTGACAGTTAACGTTAGCTTGTTTTAGAGCTCTTTGTGGCGCTAATGGTACTATAAACTATTAGCTTAATGTCATAATAATTCAAAAAGTTTTGTAATGTTCAAAACTAAAGTTTCTTCCTGTTTCCCAGACGTTACTTTCTACCTTTAAAGTAAGGTAGGTTAAGTTTTGCTGTAACTGATAATTTCTGTGAAGAAGATGAACAGGAAGTGCTATTTTTGCCTCTATGGCAGGTATAGTCAGTAGATATACCTTATGCCAGAAAATGAAATGTGATCAGAGCACAATAATTTAATTTTCCATGCCAACAGTGTTGCAGCCAGGACCACCTTAACAGAGACCACGTCATGACCAAGACCAGAGTGTATCAAACCATAGACAAGACCAACACCAAGGCAGGGTGACACCAAGGTAAGACCAAGACCAGACCAGTGTGTATGACAAGACCAGTGTGAGTCTTCCACTGCATGACACATGATAAAAATAGATCATGCAAACCATAGGAACTCAGAAAACAAATAAAGATTCCTCTTCATTCACCTCTTTTATCACCATATACTGTATGTGCAGTGTTTCCCACAGAATTACTAATTAGTCTATGTGTGGCATGGTGAATAACCTCAGTCGATCTGATCACTTTTGCTGCGCCTGCCATTCTGCTGCTCTGTCCGTGCCCTCCGTCTGCAAAAAATAGCAAATAATATCAATGTTATATATTCCAACAGTGCACCCAATGAATGTTCCAGCTCTGAAAATAGAAAATCTAAATGTGGCTGCAGATGTTTTGATCGTGGTGGCAGATTTATCCTTTTACCACGTAGGTAAAGCAAGTTAAGATACTTTTTAACTCAGTTTGCCGCTCCAGGTTAAATCTTTGCAAGAAAAGAAATCTGAGTAGCTGCAGGACACGTCTTTAAATGTCATGTGGTACTCTCCCTCAGCTCTCCACCTGAAAAAATAACTAACTACATCCTGGTTCATGCACCCTGACCATTTACCTGTGGGCTCATTTCTCATTTCGTCATGGGTCCATTTATCCTTTGTAAACTTGCAACTCATTGTCTGTTTCACCAGTGTTTGCCAAGAGTAACCATCCCTCTTTGTTCATAATGCAGGACTTAATAGTTTACCCATTAAGTGTGCGCTTGGTGACCTGGATATGTATGTGTTAATATTTCTGTCAGGATTCCAGGAAATGTAAGGATTTAAAAGAATAAAAGAAGAGGATCAAGTTTCAAACTCTGCAGTGAGTCTTCCGCACTGTGTTTGTGCATCCATCCTGACATGCTCGAATCAAGATCTCGCTTTCACACACGCACTCACAATTTCCCACGGGAGTAAATATCAGAGGGATTGTTGTTATACCATCAAATAGATTTCCTTAACTGTAGATGAAACATGATAAACAGGATATGCTTTAAATTAAGCTGGTTTTCCTGCACTGTGAGATCATGTTCAAATGTCTGCTTAAGTATCAATTATTTTAATGTTTAATCTTATTTTTTCTCCCCATTTCTAGTTTCCTGGTATGTGTGCACGTCAATGAGTACATGGTGGGTGGTTTAGAGTGTGTGCGTGTGTATGGACTATATAAGCCATGCGGTAGGCTGTCTGTGTAGTTTCTCCTGGTTTCACCTGTGAGAGAGCATCCGGCAGCATGACCTCCCAGCGATGGATGCTGGCATTCTGCTTTTCACTGGCCTCAGGTACAATGCAGCTGTTAATTTAATTATGTGAATATGACTTAATTCTTCAAAGCAGAAAAGACGTTTACTCAGTAACTGCACTTAAATATAAATTTCAGGTATTTGTATTTTACCATTTTAATATCATGTTACCTTATACATTTACTGAACAACAATTCAAAATGAAATAGTCATTTTTATTCCACTACATTTATTTGAAAGCTTTGTTTACTTGTTACTTTACAAATTAAGAATTTTCACACAAAACTTTAGAGCGTATGATGCACTGTTGCAAGTGATAAATTAAGTACTCAGATCTCTAAAAGTAAAAGTAGCAATACCAAAATGCAGACATACTTTGTTACAAGTCAAATTCCTGCATAAAAAATGAAATTTAAGCAAAAAATAAAAATATATATGTAAATAATGTGTTACTAAATTTTAATTACTGATGAATTAATGTGTACATTACTTTCATGTTGCAGCTTGTAAAGGTGGAGCTCATTTTAATTACTTATTTACTGTGGGTCGCTTAAACTATAATGATATTTATTAGTCAATTTGTATCTTGTAGTATAATCTAAATCTGTGAAATAACTAGAAACTAAAGTTATCAGATAAATAAAGTGGGGTAAAAAGTACAATATTTTCCTCTGAAATGTATTAGATTAGAAGTGTAAAGTAGCATTAAATTGAAATACTAAAGTGAAGTCGAAGTACTTCAATTCTATCTACGTACAGTACTTGAATTAATATACTTAGTTCCATTCCATCACTGACTGCTGTAGATTAAACCACCCAGTACTATTATTAGTTAACTGTTATAACACTGACATGAGCATTTTTTTCATTATGAGTACTTTAACTTTTAATGCTGTAAAATAGAGTGAGCTCATAATACTTTTCTCAAAGTGACATTTTCAATGCAGGACTCCAACTTATAACTGATCATTGTATCTAATATTGCACTATAGCTACTTTTACTTTTCTTCAGAAATTATTTTTTAAAGGCTCTAAATACTTTCACTCGTGCACTATTTGTGCATTATGTGTCTTTATACAATATTTATTATTTTAATTCAAATACAGCATCTGGTATAACAGTATTATTCTATATCCAAAGTATTTGTGTTATTATTCATGATTTTTGATTATGATTAATGTTTTCCTCCACCTTGTATTTCTCTCCTAGTTTTAGACACAGGAGAGTCAGTCACAACAACAGAAATTCAGAAATGTGAGTATAAGCCAGTCAGTGTTGGATCCTTGTCTGATCTGATCTAGTCTCTGATCTTTGCAAATGTTACATGGGACCAGTTATATTGTTTCAGCTTTTCTGAAACTTATTCTGTTTTATTGTTTCAATGTTTTGCTTCATTTCTCCGTATCATACAGATATATTGTTTTATTGTTTGGTTTGTCAATATTTTATGTTACTTGGTTCAATTTATTCTATTGTAGTTTATTCTTTGTATGTATTAGTTTGTTAATGGAGCAAGGCACAAACAATTTTCCCTGCAAGTTGTGCTGTGTGTGATTGTGTATGTGACAAATAAATACTTAATTTTACTTAAATCTTTATAGATGTGAAACAATAGTTGATGATGTGGCTTACTGATTTAAAATGGTACTCCTAGAAATCTTATTTCTGTGGGTGAAGAAGTTATATGTATCGAGTTCTGAACTGATTATTAAAGGGGTGTATAGCTGATTACATTTAAAAATCTTAACTTTTTAAACTCTCAATCTGACATAACAAAAATAATGAATTGATTTATTATATATTTTATTATATATTTACTGTATATTATATATATTTCAGTCAGGTGTTCATTTCCTGGCATTAATCAGTAAATTGTGATCAGACACTTGCAGGACATTTGGCAGCGGGGTCATCCAGCCCTTCAACGGTTCAAGTTTCTATGTTCGGTCCAACTGCCCGTTCACCCTCACCCGCTTCACACACAACCGGGTGGAATGTGATATCACCTTACGGCGAGGTGACAACGGGCTGCTGGACCAAGTCGAGATCATCATCAACAAAGTCAAGACTGTTGTGCAGAGTGGAAGCATCATGGTGGAGAAGAAAAGGTTTGGGCCCAACACTAATCCACACTGATACTGTTTTATTAACTGCAGCCATGTAGATACGGAATTAATTGAGGGATATGGCTCATTTACACTAATTGATTAAGTTTGATTTTATGCTTTGGTTGAGATATGGGGAGATTTTGCTGTCATTGAGTGTGGCAGATGATATCTTGATCAGTATGCGTATTCTAGGCCTACATTAAAAAGGATTTTAAGGATTTTCTAAGGAGAGAGACGTGTAGAAACATCTGTTTCTCAGCTACCCCAATCCAGATTTCAACAGAGAATCATTATAAAGCTCAGTTCAAAATGTGCTCTGCAAGTAAAACGTTCTTATGTGAGTGATTGGGTACATGTATCTGATCAGTAGGCGATTTGGGGGAGTGAACAAATGTATCCCTCTTATCACCACTGACAGGCCATGGTGCTGCTTTGGTACTGAAGTAGCAGAGCGGGCCTCGTTTTCCAGCTGATTGTGAGCAGCCATAGCTGTCTGAACTCATGCTCATTATTCATTGGTAACTAGCCTACACCTGACTACAGCACTCGGCTTTACCATACCTCAGATAGTTATCAAAACAAGCATTTATTCTACGTCCACGAAGAAAACATGAAAAGCTTGTTCTTAAGCCTCATTATCATCCCTATGTTATTGCTGCATTGAATGCTTCAAAACTCTGACAAATAGAACAAAAATGTCTGATAGCCACTTACAACAGCTGACCATTAATTATGTTCAGACCATCATTTAATTCAATAAATCTACTCAGAGGCATATTCGTTTAATTCTGTCATTGTCCACACTGGTTTTTGACAGAGAATCATTAAAATCCTTATTAGTGTAGGCCTACAGTACACATACTTATCACAATATCATCCACTCTGCTCAATAACAGCAAAATCTCACCATGTCTCAACACTTCATCAAATAGTTCACTGAAACATTAGTTTCTAGGAAAATATCTTGTTAAAATGCAAAAAAACATCTTATTATAACAATAAACTTTTTACGTCATTACTTGATACTGATCAGTTTTTTTTTTTTCTTGGTGTGGCAGCAACATGCTTCCATAACCAAATAATGACTCAATCAAAGTTTGAGATCCCCTGACTCTGAAAATGTATAATCCAAAAACCAATACCATTATTCACCCACACAAACTGCAGTTAAAGTGTGAGAAAGCGATAGGTGAGTTTTGCCAAAAGGCATAAATCAATCACCTAAATGGCATTTATACTCAGCCAGGTTGTTGACGTTTTTATGGATTCTTAATGTCAACAATGTTAGTTGATTATTAGCTCTGACTCTGGGACTCTGCATTATTAATAGTTTGTCTCTGTGGGTCTCCAGTGTTACGGCAAGTTGTTACGTCTGCAAGGTGACTTACAGGCTGTTTTGGGGGAAGTAGACGCTGTAATATTTAACCAATTTTATCTTTCCGTCCAAATCAAATTTGAGGAAGTGAGATGACTTACCATCATTCAGGGTTAAAAAGAAAGCTGTTTTTCTAGTAGTGGAAAGTTCACTCACTCGTGTACTCTACTCAAAGGTTCTGTATGCTACATTCACTGGCTATGTAAAGATTTAGTGGAGTAATGGCGTCCTGAGCAAAGAGTAAAGTCACGCTACCTCTGTGCGCGTTGTAATCCGAGCTTCTCTGTAGTTTGTTGTGGTAAGCCGGTGCAGCGGTGTATGTTTGTGCATGTGTGTATCCCACTGGCTAGCTCTTTGCTGCCACTTTGCACTACGCTTATATAGTGGTTACTGCTGACATCATCGTCATTGCATTAATGTAGCACCCATCCTCTGGTTTCTCCCTGGTAACACTGTTAGCTCTTTCAGCGCTGTTGCCATTGTTTAGCGTTGTTTATGGCGTTAGCATCGTTAGCTGCTAGCTGCCACCTCTATGTCGAGAACCATGTGCAGACAATTCATATGCTCTGAATTTCCCATCAAGCTCCACAAAACTTCAGAAGAATGTATTTTACTTTTTACTCCTCTACGATTATTTGATAACTTTAGTCGCTTTACAAATTAAGATTTTTGCACACAAACAATTTTGATTGCTTAAATTGATTTACATTTTTTACTAGTTGGACTTACATGCTCTTACTTAAGTAATATTTTCAACACAGAACTTTAAGTTGTAATAGAGTATTTTTACAGTGTTGTATCATTACTTTTACGTAAGCACAGGATTTCCCCCACCTCTTTTGATACCTCTGTGTGTTTATTTTTTGACAGTGTTTCCCTTCCATATGACCACACCTACCAGCATATCTTTCAGTACGGCATCTACACCAGACTGAGGAGCTCGCTGCTTCCACTGTCTGTCACCTGGCACAGTGTCCCCTGGGGAATAGACACTGTGTGGGTGAGTTGAAGGGAGTAGACACACATGAGAGCACAAACACAGGCATTCAAACACAATACATTATGATCTTAAGCTAACTGGAACATTCACAGTTAGTTCTGTACTGCAGAGCACTAACCTCACTGACTGATGCCTTTTTAAAAACATGTTAAGGTGGAGGTGGAGCAGGAGCTGAGCACTGGCATGACCGGACTGTGTGGAAAACAGAACTTCCCAGGTACGTTTGAATTGATAGCAGAATCGTTTTAGTAAAAAATGGCAGTTAGCAGCATAACTTTTTGTAGGCCTTGTAGGAGCAGCAACGTATTTAAAATATTTTTTTTATTTTTTTAAATGAAATTAGGCAACAAGCAGCAGCTGATTGAGGAGAGCGTGCTCGCCAAGGACACATGTCAAATCCGAGATCCTGTTTCTGCTGTGAATACAGTAAGTCAACTGTTGCCATAACTGACTGTTCAAACACACCTGAATGAATGTTGTGACGATACTGTCTTCTGTTGGTACTGCTGCTGTATGTACTTTGGAGCACACCTGGTCTTTTTTTTCTAACAGAAATTTAGGAGAAAATGTGAGAGAAATTTAAGAGAATGTTGCTGCATGAGGCCCATGGAGACGTGAATGTCAGAATCAACAATGTTTTCATTAATTCACTTTTTGAGGAGTCAGTCTATTCAGCTGTGTTTAAACACTCCTGATTCTGAATGTTTCTCTGGTATTTGTAGGAATGCAGAATGTTCTTTTCCTACACTTTGGATTGTTTGCAAGCCATGACGCCTCATTATATCCAACTCTGTGAAGAGAACATTTACAGCTACGAAATGAGCAAAGACATCAGCTGTGCTTTCTTCAAAGAGGTTGCCCAGCACTGTGGGAACAACAGCTATGTCTGGAGGATATGGAGAGATGTAACCACATGTGGTAGGTGCTCTTTAACCCCCTTAACATCCAGCTTTTACCTTTATTTTGTCGCTTTAAGTTTCAAAAAATCATCTTTTGCACAAGTCTTCAGTGAAGTTACATCACATTTACACTGAGTTAACATGTAGGCCTCTAATCTGATTTGATTAAACAGCTGCAAACTAATGAGTTCACATCCCTCTCAGCCAACCACAAACAGCCACAGCATCAGATAGGGAGTATATATTCAGCATCTGTCATCTTAGAAAAGTCAAAAGAAAAGAAACAGAGTGAAATTGCGAGAGAGAACGAGAGAGCGCGCGCGCGAGAGAAACGCAACATTGATTTACAATTGTGGTGACCTCCTCCCAGGCTACCTTTGCATCATCAGCCCGTGGAGGTCTGCTCGCAGTTCCGTATATTCGGACACTGCGAGCTTGGACCTCACAGACCAAAACATCAGTTTCCTCCTGGGAGAAGTTTGGCCATCTGACGCTGCTGCTCTCTCTGCCATGGCGAATTGAGTAAACTCTCATTACGCCTTCGCGCAGCACATTTAAGGGTGAGGTGAGGGGCTCATTTGATTGGTGTGATGTGAATTGGCTGTTTAAACCCCACTCCACGCCTTCTCTCCTCCCTCTTTCTGACTTGCGCAGGTAGGAGGGATGGAGGTGGGAAAGAGGAGTAGCTATGCCAGCGCACACGGTGTGCCAAACTTGCAAAATCTGCCTGGCCACACCCAGTTGGCGAAGCGCAGGTGCGCTGCGCCCCCGCCTCGCCCGGTCTGCGAAACTAGAGGCCGTAGTCTTTCATACATATCATATGAACATTTGATATGATACGTATCATATCGTCATATCACGTGACATAGTATGTGAGCTGACTTTTGTTATTTTAAGGTAGAGGGAAAGATGGATGGTGTGTCTCCTAGGTGAGACACCTGCCAAGCTGCAGAACACTGTTTAAAACTAACACTGCTGTGTTTCCAGCAGCCTTTTAGGCACCAAATTTGGGTCACTTGTAGTAACCTATCAGTGTTTCTCCTGCTGGGATGTTGGCATAAAAAATAGTTGCTCTGCTACATAATAACATGCAAATATAATGTATCTGTGGTTTGCAGAAATGTACAATGCCGACATTTTTTCTGGTGGTTGGGTTGAAATGAAAGATTAGATGTTTTTATGGCTGTACAGTGTCATCAAATTTAAATAATCTCAATGTTTTGTGCCATCTTGTACACATTTCCCCAAAATTCAGCCTGACATAATTTGGTATTCCAGACTTTGGGATTCACACTAGCACTGAGAATAAAGTTCTGTGATTTTGAGCAAAGTTTTGCTGTGTTTGCCACGTGTTTGTGCTGACAGGGGTTTACAAGATTAGATTATAAATTCGTTTTAAAGTTTCAAATTGGCTCAAATTCAACTTTAGACACTAATTTGATGAACATTGCCTGTTTGCCTGTTTCTGTTTTGCAGTGAAGCCAAGTTGTCCAGGAGACCTGGTTTATGTAGAACAGGGCGCAGCCTTTGCTCCCAGCTGCTCCAGCCAAAACCTCACATTCTCCAACCAGGAACTCACTAGCTCCTGTGTCTGCCCAAAGAGTGAGCACTATCTGGCTTCACGATGTAGCTCTTCACTTGTTGTTTCATTGCTTGTTTAGTCTATATGATCCTTATAATAAAGGTATACTAATTTGTGTTGTAGGTACGGTGCTTAATGATCATGCGGATGGCTTCCACTGTGTGAGTGTGTCCAGCTGCTCCTGTGTATTTGCTGGCCAGACCTACTCAACTGGAGACATTCGCAGCACCAAATGTCAGTCATGGTAAGCGAGAAAAAAACTGATTTGGCACTGAGGGAATATCCATGAATTACAAATGTCTACTTGGGCTCAATGAAATGAGCTAGTTTGATTTTTTCAATTAAAGTTTCGTCATCATTTGTTTCCACAGTGTGTGTGACAGTGGGAAATGGCAATGCTCTGAAAACTCCTGCCCACCCACATGTCTCATTGAAGGGCAGTTTGTAACAACATTTGACGGCAAACAATATGCCGTCCCTGCCAAATGCACATATTTGGCTTCTCTGGTGAATTTTTCCCACTACCCCAACATGTGCCATTAACCTATGTTGACTTTTTATTATACTAATGGCTGTGTTGTTCTTTAAGGGTCTCAACTGGATGATAATAATCAAGTTTTCTGCAGAGGCACCCTTCCTGGAAAAAGTTTATCTTGTACTTTTTCAGGTACAAGCAGTCTTTGAGAGTTGAATCTAAAATAATGTAATCTATTAAACAAATGCCAAGCCACAGAAGTGAACAGTCAGTGAATATAAATGCTCTTCTTTTTTGGATTTGCAGGAAATATATGTATTCACAGACAACAAGGTGATGTTCCATGGGGGGGAGATCACTCAACTTCATGAGTCTGGTAAAAAACAATTGTTGTCCACTTTATCTGTTCACGATTCCTTTAATGTAACCTATAGCCTAGTAATTCATCCATAATGGCTTGGTTACCCACCCACCAGCTCACTAACCACTCTCTGTCACCTATCAGAACATGCTTTGGTTTTCTGGCAGTCCTCCATGTACGTCCACGTCCACACATCCTTTGGTATGAAGATGGAGGTCCAGATGTTTCCTGAAATCCAGCTGTACATCAACCCACCCACAAACCACTCAGGCCTGATCTCAGGTTTGGATCTTGATCTACAAACAAGGGATTCACCTTTATTATGGCCTGTAGTTTTGAGCTTTCAATACAAAAAACAAAACAAAAATAAATACAAAGGTAGTTTCTATTCTCTGTAGTATTATCTTTTTTTTAAATTGCAAGACAAAACACTAACAGAATGATTCAAGGAATACAAGAATGATGAATACGGGCCAGTTAACAAAGGTTCATCAAGTAATAAGAAAACAAGGTCATGTTACTACTCGTATGTTGCTTTTATTTTGATATGTGCGCGCATATGTGTGTACGTGTGTGTGCGCGTGCGCATGCATGTGTCCACGTTTTAAACAGTAACAAACAAAAGAAGGAACAAATTTTCAAAATAAATTTAAAATATTGTACTATTAAAAAATGGTATTATAACAGAAATATTACTATAAAAAAAGGCACCATAAAAATTGTACTATTAAACCATTTTACTATAAAAATGTACTGTAAAATATGCACTAAAATAAAATTAAGATAAAATAAAGTAAAATAAAATTGTACAATAAAAAGTTGTATTATAAAAGAAATGTTGATATAAAACTTTGAACAATAAAATCAATTTTACTATGAAAAAATGTACCACTAGAAAAATTGTACTATAAAAATGTATTATAAAAATTGCATTATAAAAAACTATACTAGAAAAAAAAAATATATATAAACACTATAAAAGGTGTATCATAAAAAATGTACCATAAAAAATGCACTGTAAAAAAATATTTAAAAATGTTTTATTTGTAATTATAATCAATGTATCTTTCAGGTCTTTGTGGCAACAACAACAATGACACTACAGACGACTACACCACCAGCAGCGGGATCATCGAGAACTCAGCTCAGCCTTTTGCTCAGTCCTGGAGTTCCGGTGCTTGTACGGGGAACATGCCCATCTGCATTAACACTGACAATGGTACCAATAAATTATATACAAGTGTGCTTGTAAAATGTTGTAAATGTGTGGATAAAGTCACACACAGTATTTTATTGTCTTCCTGAATTCTGCATATAATGGATGAAATATAAATTTTTTTTTTTTTTGTTTTGTTTTTAAATATCAAACAACTGGTACATTTTTATATTGAAACTCTGAAATTTACTCACTAGTTTGCTTGCTTCTAGGTGATATGATAGAAATAGTTGAGCCACAAGGACATTTCATTATTGTAAATATGTATTTTGCAGAAATATTTGCTGATGAAAAGTGCTCCGTGTTGAACGACCCAGCTGGGATATTTGCTAAGTGCCACGGTCATATCCCAAGCGATCACTACCACATGGTAACATGACTTTTGCACCAAAATAAATCCTCAATAAGTTTTGACATATCTGTGAGCTACCCTTGTTAACATGAAACTGTTTTTATTTCCAGGCTTGCATCCTAATAACTTGTAACTGTGTCAGCAGTCTGCAGCAGTGCCTGTGTGTTGCTCTGGGCAACTATGCCAAAGCCTGTGCCAGTCTGGGTGTTGTAATTGGTGACTGGAGGGCAGCCACCAACTGCAGTGAGTTCAGTACAAACAAATATACAGCTTACTCTGTCTGCAACCCTGTGCTATACTAAATGTTAATCACAATATTGTGTCACAGCTTTGACATGCCAGAAGAACCTTGAATTCTCCTACAACATGCAAGCCTGCAACCACACATGCCGCTCCCTGTCTGGTCCTGACCCTCGCTGCGGGCTGGATGATGCTCCTGTGGAGGGCTGTGGCTGTCCAGAGGGAACTCACCTGAACCAAGGACGCACCTGTACCCCAAAAGCAGAGTGCCCTTGCCACTATTATGGCGGTACAACGCCCCCGGGTACTGTTGCTATTGACGGACGAAGGTGGTGAGTTAATCATCTGTGTATTTACAGCCATTTAAAACTTTACTAACATTTATCTTAACATTTTAATTCTGTTTACTTCAACAACAGGTGAGACTATTACTCACTGTCTGCGTTAACCAAGTCTCCCCAGTGCTGCTATAGTGTCCTCAATTGTGTAGTCTACACCTATGGACCCTGACACACCAAGCTAACAGTTGGCCGTCGGTCAATGTTGTGCCATCTGTGAGCATCTTTTGCCTTAGTTTTTGCTGTGTGTTACCCACCACTGGCACCAGTTGGCCCTTGTCGTCCTTTTTCGGCCAATTCAGCATGTTAGTCGGAATGGGAGATGGCGGGGCCCGATTGTAAATGCAATCACTCTTATTGGCAGTTTGCACAAGAAGAGAAAGGGAAGTGAGGAAAGTAAACAACAATTAAAGTCAAAGGGCGCGTTATGTGAGATAACATTACTTTTTTTTTTTGGCCATTGAACTCTTTAGCAGAAACAGTTTGTGAATGTTTGTATTATTGTTTGCAAACACATGGTAAATATCGTGTTCTTTCAACAATGGGCTGTGTTATTAATGTGCTAACTGGCAAACTAGCATCTTGAATCTTTCCCGACAGTCTTCCAGTTTCCATTTTCGAATGACAAATACAGACTGCTGCCACCTGCTGGTGTTGGAGAGTTATTTCCTCTCACGCAGACGCAAAACGTACATGCAAGTTAGCTGTTGGCTGTTGTCTTTGCGTTGTGTTCAAGTACAACGTTTTAGCTGAGACACAGGCAATATGAGGCAGTTGGTCTTTGTCTCCATTGATTCATGGATGTCAGATTGGTGTGTCAAGGCCTTATGATGTACACATACTTGAGCAAATATGTGTTATGAATGTCTCTATTCCAGCATCTGTGAGAATGGAGAGCTACAGTGTTCTGAAGATTGTGGTAAATATATATTCTTTCATCATTGTCATATTAAACTTATCCCTTGTTATCTCTGCTCTGTGGTTTTAACTTCATTTGTTAATAGTGAAAAATCAAATAGAATTTTAGCAATAACCTCAGTTTCTGCAGAAAAAAAAAATACGAAAAAGCTGACATAGTGTCAGAGTATCTGAAATATAACTAACACACTCATATGTTTTCTGTATTTAATGATTGTTTGCATCAGGATGCAGAAATGGGAAGGTTTGTGTTCACTGCTCCGAGTACCCTGTTAGCACATCTCAGAAAACCTGTGACAGCCTCAGCAAACCAATGGTAGGTCAACAGATTACATGTTTACATACATGGCTTTACACTATTCTTGTGTCATTCATTTTTCTTTTCACATCAGCTGCTGACGTGTTTGTTAAAACTGTAATATAATAATGTGGCTACTAACTTTTATTGTGATGGGTCAAACATTTCCTCAATCTAAAAGATTTTCCTTTGATGCGATTTCCAGAGTGCAAGTATGACCTGCAAGAGTGGCTGTTACTGCCCACATGACCAGTACGAGGATCACCGTGGCAACTGTGTTTCTCTGGACAACTGCACCTGTGTGTACAGCGGCAAAGTGTTCAGTGCAGGACAGCACGTCAAAACCAACTGTAAAACATGGTAACACCTGAATTAGTGCTGCTTTCCTACACGTTCATTCAAAAAATCTTATTCTTCCAAAAGCTAATACAGCTGAGATGGAAAGGCTGCTTAACTAACTGACACCGTCTCACAGTATCTGTGGTCAGGGTCAGTGGCACTGCAGAGACGAGCCCTGCCCCGGGAAGTGTCAAGTTTACGGAAACGGACACTACCAGACCTTTGACTCCAAGTGGTACCGCTTTGATGGACAGTGTCAGTACATTCTTGTAGAGGTGAGACCAAACATCAAAGTGTGAACGAAATCCATTGGTCACGTCAATCAATCAATCAATCAATCAATTGTATTTATAAAGCCCAATATCAAAAATCACAATTTGCCTCACAGGGCTTTACAGCATACAACATCTCTCTGTCCTTAGGACCCTCACAGCGGATAAGGAAAAACTCCCCAAAAAACCCCTTTAACAGGGGAAAAAAACGGTTGAAACCCCAGGAAGAGCAACTGAGGAGAGATCCCTCTTCCAGACATGCAATAGATGTCGTACAGAACAGATCAACATGATAAATTAACAGTAATCTGTATGACACAATGAGACAGAA